CCCCCCCCCCCCCCCTCACATGCCCTCACACCTGGTGGCACTCTACTGAGAGCACACTTCTAGTTTGTTATGTTGCTCCCAATGTGTATTTTGGTTGATTCCTAAATCTCAGGCTAGCAGCTAAAATTTAAAATGCAAAAGTCCATCAGTCCTGCCTAATGAATCTGCATGTTGTGCTCACAATACAGGCAGAATTGAGACGTTGAGAATGTTTATTAATATCTGGTTTAAATGCAAATGTTATGTGGATGTGGAAAACTGAGCTTCTCCAAACTATAAGCCTGCACAGTTGTCTACACAGTGTTGTAGCGATGTTAAGAGGATGGATCCCTTTTATTAAACTTCAACAAAGCTGATCACACATCTGTCGCATATTTGTTCAGGCAGACTGCATAAAAAATTGGTTTGACTTGTCATGTTTTAAGTGCAGCAACTCAAGAACTGTATTTACTTTGGTCAACAAGTAGCATTTATGAGTCACGATATAATAACAGTTTTGTGCTTGTTCAGTTGTGTGGCAACAGAAACCCAAAACATATGTCAACAAGAACATCTGAATTGAGACTTCAGCTAATGGCATTAATGCACAATTATTGGGTTTGCCAAACAAAAGAGGTGGGAATACAAAAAATGTCATATTTCTTTGGCATTTCACTGTGGATTCATTTTGTGATGTGATGTGATTTCATTTTTTAGAAACTACCCAAAAAGGCTTGTGTGGACACGTTTATCCTCCTTAGTGTGGATGTAGTGTACTCTCAAGGGAACCAGAGCATCTGCACATTTTGTTAGTGACCATTAATGTCATTTAAAAGCTTTGGCAGGTGGTCCGCCTTTAATATGCACACAATTTCTGTGTGCAATCCGGCCAACTCTGTGCACACATGAACACACACGGTCACTTGTAATCAGCTGGTCACATTTGTTAAACAGGAAGGCATCTTATTCAAATAATGAGGTGGTTTATTATCACAAACAATTAAATCTAAGAGAACGCTGAAGGCTAATTCGAGCCATACCTCCCTTTATTCAGCTTTAAATGGATCCTCCTGTGGTTTGTATCTTTTTAACTGTCTTCTCAGAGGCAATTATGTTACAACAAATAATGCTGTGAGGATAAAATGCAACATCCACAGATTTATAAGTACACAGTGTGCAATTCTGTAACCTCTGTTGATGTTTTTGTGTGTTTTTTAAGATGCTAAAACTACAACTTATACCAGTTCTACTATTTATGCCATTAACAGTGAGGTTAATGTACACAAACAGGTTTAACAGGTCAATATATCTCAGTTTAACAATGGCCACTGTGGGGAAAACTGTGAGAGATGTGGCCACATGGCTAGCCAGCTTCCTGAAATTGCTTACATACACCATTTCACAGCATGCCTTATACGCTTGAACACTATCTACACCCCTATACCAATTCTGTCAGCCTGCAGCTTATTCAAAAATGGTTAGATAATATGTAGTCCAGATAAGTCATAACTTATAACTTAATATTATCGAGAGTGTTTGGGCTGTGAATAATAACTTTTACTTTTGTTTGTGTCTCTCCTCCATCTCTTTATCTTGTTGTTTGTGTTGTGCGATGGTTCTAAAATATACAATATACTGTACACACACCCACCACAAGTCACTAGCAGCCGGAACCTCTCTTCCACTTTCATCTTTCCCTGCAGCTCACCGATGGAGGGGTTCATATAAGAAATGGTGACACTGGTGATGAAACATGGTTGAAAATGTCCCAGTCCATTACATTTTCAACAGTGGCATTCTGCTACTCTTACATGCATAATCGAGGGGGCAGAGAAATGTGCAAATCCTCTCAACATGAGTCTTGTGTGTTTAGGAAAAGTAGATAACTGCGCTCCATTCTGCACAAACAGAGTCAGACTGGTTTTATTGTGTCATTAAGTGACAAAACAACACAGGTCATTCAAGTTTACCAAAGTCCTCAAACATGTGCCTTTTTGCCTCTACAGGGATTGATTTTTCTTTCTTTGAGCAGATTTGATTTGCAGCCTAGCGTATCTGCATCGGTTGCAGTGGTAACGGCATGAGTCACTACATGATATGCTGGTGACGCAGCTTCCTTTACTCTGGATTTGATGTTATCATTGCGTCGCATTTGAGTGACGCAAAAGACACTTTGAAATCCAAGTAACTGGACGGATGACAGCAGCATTCTTCCTCTAACCTTACTACTAAATTGAGACTAGAGTGTTTTGAATAGTTCCTCAGTGCTCTCTACTGATTTTCCAATAATATGTCAGGATGAATTACTACCTTTTACATTTAAGTTCAGTGGGCCAAGTTTTTCAATTTCAGTCTCCTAGTTTGACGTCAAAGCATCCAAATGTCAACATCTGCTCTTGGAGGTTTGGAAATGTTGGTTGCACATTGTACTCGGAGATAGGCCAGAGGAACTCTGGACTTTCAACAAGGGAGCAACCATATTAAAATGTTTAAACTGGCATTGTAGTGTGTTAGCCCTTATTGAAACACAGCAACATAACGCATAGCTTTAATTACAACCGTAATCATTTTTGACTAATTTCTTTTTTTTTTAATCTTTTTTTAAGTAGATTTTTCTTCTCAAGCATATATATATTTTAATGGTTAAATAATGTTTAAAAAGTGTTTCTTTTCATTTCATTTCTTCATACAAGGCAAGGTCATATGGATATACAAAAGATTCAGTGAAAAATATTGCTGATTGTATCTATTCTGATAAAAAGTGATCATGTGATATGGGAACAGAAGGATGGTATGATATTATGGTGTCAGACTTGCACTGATGCTCATGGAATTCATGAGCAGTACACTATGCAGTAAGAAGGCAAGAAAAACAAAAACTAAGATAGTATCACTTATTTTACCTTTGTGTGTCCACCCTGTAGTAGAAGCAAACAATGAGCAATCTTTTTCCACTTTATGTCCTTTTAAGCACAGAATGATGGCCAGAGCAAAGCTGTTTCTTTCTGTTATTTATTGTCAGTGGGGTTTTTTTGTAACTAATTCTCCCTTCTGTGTCAGGTGGTATCCCCTTTGTCCTGACCGGGGAACTGTTTGAACAGTCCTACCGACCTGCGGCCTTCATGATCGCTGGAACCGTAAACTGGCTGTCCAACTTTGCTGTGGGCCTCCTGTTCCCATTCATTCAGGTGAGATACCTCATGTAAACGTCTACTCATGTACACATTGTGCTAAGGTTGGGGTCCTGTTTTGGAGTTCACGGTTACAATGCCAGTCGAGATACATTAAATAAACAAGTGACCCTATTATAAAATAGAGCATTACGCACACAGTAAGTTATGAGTGAATTGTCAGTTAAACCAAACTAACACCAACTATGTTTGTCACTCCAACGTTCCCAGTCCATTAAAGCTGTCAGCTCCTCCTTAATCCCAGCAGTAGCTTCCTGCCAAACCAGTGTTTGTGCTGCCTCTGATGTTTCTGTAGTCCTGTCACATAACATTATGCATTTTGTATCCTAATTATATGCAACTACTGAGCTCTAATTGTTAGACTGGAAGGGTCAGTGATCCCTCCTTATTTACAGTCTTTTCACAATAAGGGTTTGAACTTAATGATCAGAGTTTTCCTGACTGAACATGTGCTGTGCTTTTTTTTTCTTCATTGAATCATACTTATTAATCTAACTGTAAAAAAAACTGTAAAAATTCAACTATTGGCTCAGCTTTGGTGCAGGGTGCTTTTAAGGTCAGACCTAACCTAACAGTAAGATGTGGAAATGAAAAATCAAGCCCTGCTTCCTTAGTGTAAGTCAGTGTGATCAGCACCTCAGCTGGAGGAGCAGTGAGGAACAGCAGCTAAGCCACAAAGGATGTTCCAGCACACATTTGCTTTCACTATTTCCCATGTTTTTTTATTTCCCATGTTAGTCTGATAATATATTAGAGTTTCTTCTTGAAGCTGCAGGATAATGGCAGTAAAACATGGCATTGAAAACAAGATTTTTTTTTTTTTTAAATAGAAATTCTGCATTAAAGGTGTAGAGTTTGAAATAAGTGGACATTTATTAGGCGGGGATGGCAGTCTAATGAAAGATGCTGTTGAGTTGCATTATGGTAAATGTAGTATCTTGGACTTGCTGCTCAATTTTGCCTAGTGATATGTTGTTCATTAATGAGTCGGCTCTCTTTAACATATTTGTTAAATACAATCCAGAAACATTTCACTTTGGTAATTAGACCCAAGAGTGCTGAGACTTTTATATGTTGGGCCAGTAACCAACATACAAAACATGGTTATAAAACATTAAATACACATAATTTAATAATTGCATGAAGCTAAAGGTTTAGTATAAATACATTATTAATTGACGTTATATATGCACACACATACCAATCAAAGGTCAAAACATTGCTAAATTTGGCTGAATTACAAAAGCCAAATGATCTGGATCACTTAAAAGTAAAATGAACCCCCATCACTATTTTTTCTCAAAATGTATCTCTTATGTCTTAATCACTGAGTCTGTTGTTTGAGTACGTTTCAGATGTGTTTTTTAGTCATTCATTTACTTCAATGCAGCTATTGTCTCTAATGGCATAATGGTTGGTGCTTTAATCAATTTAGACATGTAACTGTTAACTGTAGTGTCTTTTTAGGCTTTTCCCCTTTTACGCAGATGGATTTAGGTACATGATTTTGTGTTGGGCTGTTATCTCTTTCAAATTGCCTTTGAGAGCCCAGCAGTACTGTGGCTGGACAGACCCAGTGTTGAAACACTGACTGCGGCTGTTGTGGTGCTGACGTGTTACTTTTGCTGCTCGGCCTTGTAAGCAAGGTGTTGCGGGTGAAACGTGAGACATGACAGGAATTCTGAACATAAAGCATTAGACCCCGAAGCACAATTAAAGCTCCGTAGCAGCAGCTGTTAACAAAATCACAACTGTTTTTTTTTTTTGGTTTCAATAAGGCGGCCTTCAGGGTTTTTTTTTCAGACAGCAATGAATTAGATACCTGCTTAGCCCACTGTCATCATTTTAGCTTGTTGAAAATACACTGAGCAATTAAAAGTGGTGATACAGAGGCTAACACAGAAGTGGGTCAGACTTTCTATTGTAGAATCCTTTAATGCACCATTTCTGGTATTAAAATGCTAAAAATGTCATAAAACTTACTTGATCCTTGTTTGTTTTGAATTATAAGCATGTTTAGAGTGCTTCACACTGGACCGGAGAGACCTTCATTTTAAGGAGGATAAATGTGCTTTTTTAGGAGAGGGGTAATAAGCAAATACAGCAAAACAGTTTCCGACAGAAGAGCCTATTAGTGACTGAAACTGGATTTCTTTTCTTCCTGTAAGCTGCAGGTTCCTCTTTCAACTTCTAAAACCTGACTGTTGCTCCAGGTGGCTCCACATCACTGCCTCGTCTCATTTTACCTGCTCAGTTTCTTTCCCTCTGTGCCTCTCCCTCTCTCTTTCTTTGGCCGCACAGCTTGTTTTTTCTCATCTCTCATTCTTAACTTCAGTGTTTGGTTTTTTTACTTTACAGCCTTACCGGAGTACAATGTGTTTCTACACAATTGGGTTTGGTGGTGTTAGAGAATATTGCTTGGTACTGGTTTTGGCCATTTGATGGATTGGTTGTGTATTGTTGAGTTTCAAGTTGAGTTTGGTGTATTACCTTATATGACAGTGAAAAAACCTTTTTCAGTAGTCTGTTTTTACTGTTTCCAAAAGGTTTTGCACTCAGACAGTTCACTATAGGCTACACATACATACAACTATAATAAAAAGTCATATGTAGAACAATAATCTATTTCTAGCTTGTTGTGTCTCTGTGTTTGGTCTGAGGCTTGACATTTTCTGCTGGAGCCCTATAAAGTCAAAATACTGGAGAGATGGTGAATACTGGTATATAGACCTAAGCAAATTAGCCAATTTCACTGCATTTTAAAACATAAAGGTATATTTATATTTATATTTATCTTATATAAGATAATATATATATAAGGTTTTCTAGTTAACTGCAAATCCATCTTGCCAGGCTTCAATCTATGCATTTGTGGCCAAACTACAGCAGTACTGGACCAATCTGTGTCCTTTGGGGAAGTACTGGCAGCTATGGTGTTAAAAAAAAAAACTCCACGTAAATGTCTTGGGCGCTTGTTTGTCTTCTTATCCGGTTATCGATCCCCAGTTCTCTACTACCTTGTTGCATTTCATTGATGTGACATACATTAGAGAACCCCTTAGATATACACTGAGAAAAAGACATAGCTGACTGCTTTATCTTGTCAGTTACTAGATTTCAAAGTAAGTAGGGAAACAAGTAGAATCTGCCAAACACTTGAAAAGTACAAAGTCTATAAGTGCAGGGAACTGCTGCCTCATTGTAAATTAGTTCTATTTCTGAGTGAATTCAGTGTCTGTAGGATATAGGGACAGCTCCTGTATTGCTGCACCCCCAAGCCAAGAGGACCTTTCAGACAGACAACCCCAAAGAGATTAAGCAGCCCAAGTAATCTGCTCTGAGTCTGAGGAGTCAAATGTCCTGAATTGACACCCCCTTTAACAAGGCCTGGGATCCTGCCTGTGTAGAATAGGATCTGTGGCCCATGAAGACATTCACTCTTTTACACCTATAAGCCAAACCTATATCCTCCACAAACCAGTGGGAGAGGCTCTGATGAGAAATGAGCTTAACCTTGCTACGTCCAGACCACGGTCAGTGAGAGTAAAGCAAACAGACAGATCCGGACTGATTACGTTTATTTACTCTCCTCTTAAGAAGAGAGTAGACAAGTGGAACACCACCAACTTCCCTGACATGTTGAGATAGGAGGAACTCTTTACCTTGGGCACTAAAGCAGCTCAGACAGCTCTGGGACAAACTAGTGGACTGTGGGCTGCAGTTTGCCGGCCAAGGCAAATGCCAGTAGTGGAGCTGTCTTTAGCAGCAGCACCAAGTTTTGATCCCAGATTATTACCAAGGAGATGGAGAATATGACTCAGTGATGTTCCCTCTCCATGGAGCAGCACAGCAGAGGATGCAGACCCCCCTGTGTGGCTGCTGTTATGCCACTTTGTGCGGCAAGTATGAATACTTTGACTGGTTTCCATCATGCTGGCGGGCAGCATCCTGATTTAGCCTCTCACAAGCCAGGCCCAGAGGGCTAACTATTGAGTGAGAATGTTAAATTCCTCCGTGTGCCTTGAATGCAAACTCTGTCCCTCTGGCTGTGCTGGGAGAATCAGGCTGAGAGGGAAATCATACAGCAGTGTGAGCACTGAGCGATTGGTTGTGAAGAAAATGATCCACAGTGGCCTGCAGGTACAGTATCTCTACCAGACCCGGCTGACAGCCTGTGAGTTTAGAGGATTCACCCTGGACAGGAGGTTTGCCCCCATGTCTGTGGCTCCTGGGACTCAAGTAATGTGTAGTGACAGGAGATGTGTGCTACTCCACACTCTTAACCAGTGTGCCAGCTCGTCAGGGTGGGTAATGCAAGCTACTATGGTGATGTAACCTGTTGTTAAGACTCATTATTTTTGGATTTTATTTTCCTTACAAATCTGTGAATTTATATGTATTGTGAATTAATATGTATTATTAAATTCAAATGTGAGACAATCAGTTTAAAAACTTTGAAAATATTATTCGAAAAAATGCAATTTGCAGAACAAACATCCCAGTACTAGTACTGTCACTGTTTGCCTTTTAAATTACTTAGAGGTACTCTGGTGCATAACCAGCAGCTCATTTGTGTTTCTCCTTATTTTTCTCTTCACTTTATATTATTATAAGCATATTCTGAGCTGTACTTGTCACAAGGGGACCTTGTTCACTGCAAACTGCAGTAAATAGTGTCTTCATGTGGCAAGAAAACACTCTTGAATAAGCCATAAAAATCAAGTGAAAATCAGTTTGAACCCATTTGCTTTTTTAAAATCTGGGTATGTTTCTGTGTAAATCTGTAAAACACAAAAACAATGAGCCTTATCTGAACATCCACCAGCAGTTTTGCAATGTCTCTTCATTGTTTAACCCAGTCAGGACTCTAAAGTCATCATGCCCATGCCTACTCACAAAGAGAACAGTGTTTTTTTTTGTGTAGCATTCAATTCTAAAATCCTGCTTGGTTGCAGAGGCATCTGGTTGACTACAGTTTGCTACAGTTTAACCACTTG